ATTGGAAGTTGGTATTGGAAAACATTACATTATGCAGCTAGTTACATTTTTCGGGCAATATCATACTAACAAAGTTCTAATGGCTAGATAAAATTTTGCAATTTTTAATTGCAAGCCTTGAAATCAAAACAATTATCTGAAAAATATGATGGTCCTAACACAACGTCACATCAAGGTGGTCCTAAGACATTACCATCGCATCATAGTGGTCCTAACATATTAACAGCCTTCATTTTACAAGAGATGTATGGCCCGAGCACTATTACTCGTTGGGGACACTTATTTGTTAGGGACCCTTACTGTAATTTGTAAGATTTCAACAGCCATTGAAAACCAGCGTTTTTTGGCAGACGGGGAAATCTTGTTTAAATATTTAAAGATGAAATTGTTTTCCATTTATGATTTCGCTTGAGAATTAAGAAGCGTAGTTCCATTTAATGGCTGGCATTATGAAGTCATTATACAGCAAAAAGTATACCGCTGAACACGCTCCTTTGCTAGTTCCAAATTCTTAGCAATATTGCTATCACGTGATACGCAGAGTTTTCGTGTCTTTTTACGAGTTCATCGCCAGCTTTTGCTAACGCTGCTCCATAAAATGTACACATAACTTTAGAGTCGACATTGCCTTCCTCGTTCTCCAGTTCTGGCTCAGAAAATTTCTTCAAATTCTCCATTGTAGGCGTTCAAGTTACTTGTTCAACACTTGCTCAACAGGCAAATTGTCAACATGTTCTCTGCAACTTCGTCAGTTTTCCCGTGCCAAGATGTGATAACTTTCATCGAACTAAAAATCAGGCGTCTCTTCACATACACAGCACATTAATGCCATACCTTGTGTGCAGTGCAAACCCTAAGACTGCATTTTTATATGCAGGGAATCGTTTGATTTCGCCGTTTATTCTCTGCTTCAAACATAGACTCCTTCATGATAATCGACCATTCTACACACTTTGTTACCAGCCAGACACAATAAATAAATAACGACATGAATTTCTATCATCTATAGCTAACTTTGTTTGAAAAATCCAAATAAGCTCACGACCGTTTTCAATCATATTACTATTCGAAAATACGCGATTGTGTTTGCATTTCCTTATAATTAGGCCGCATAATTTAGCGCGCTTTTTTAGAACAGCATGCCAATCTGTTGTTAAGTTTTGCCTTTAAAAATTAGCTTCAGAAAGGATCTGCCGTGTTCCTTAAAGTGGCGTCCGATTGCCTGAAACTCTCCATTTCATTCACATTTTCACAAATGCAACGAAGCACGAAAGAAAATTTCAAATAAAATCGTTAATCCAAGGACACCGATTGAACAGTTTTTTCGACCATTTCGTGAACTCTGTTTAAATTGCGCAAGTTATGGAAGAAGAAGTGAAAATCTACAATATACAATCGCCACAATACATCTTTACATTGTCTTTGATAAGCTTGTGCAAAAGACGCGAACCGCATTATCACAAGGAAAGATGGTAGAGGCGATTGTTGTTCAGAAGTTCTCCCATTGCCCTCTTCATGCTGACACTGCTTCTTCGCCAAAACGCATATCCACTGCCTGATTCAAATCAGAAAAGCGTAAGGGTAGATAAAAATCAGGGAAAGTTATATGCTTGACATTGAAGCCCAAGAAAGGCGAGTGCTACATACGTTTTTTCCGCAGACGAGGAAATTGTTGGTGCCAACATCATAATTAGGAAGTGTGGTCATTTCCTTGGCATGCTTCATTTGCTCGCTCACTGCTGAGTGCACAGACGGTTATTATCCCATCAAGATCCAAATACGCAACTGATAATTAGGATGGCATTTGATAAAAAGGCAAGCATCAGACTTGCTAGCCTCAGTTTGATTTACACAGTCATCTTCTCTAGGTGCGGGGTGCCTTGCGAGCACATCCAAAGAGAATGGGAACCAGTAGCTAAATCATGTCAGATTTAGTGTTCCTAGAAAAGGAATGACCGCTAGACTTCTAAGAAGAGAGGTTAACACCGATATAAGGTGGGGTCTTTAGGGCGGACATTCGATATCCGGGTGTCATTTTACAGGAAGAACCAAAATAACCATTCGTTTCATAGTACCATCATTTGCTTGTCTCTGACTGACAGCAGTATGACCCTAGAATTTGTGCTTTCCCCACATATTTGGAGTGATCCATGGAAACCATTGGCTGATTTGTGTATACCAAAATAACAAAAAAAAAGAAGTGTGTATAGATCAAACAGGCTCCTTTTCAAATGCTGTCTGCGCCACCACGTAAAAAGCCCATCTGTGACGGAATCAGTAGGTGAATGGAGGGGTGTGGAGGAGGGGTGGTTAGCCCGGGAAGCATGGTTCACAAGTGCCAATCTATTACCAGAGATTGCAAGGTACATTAAGTTTGTCGAAATTTTATTGAAAATATTTACGGTGACAATTTCCTTCTCGTCACTTAAAAAATGTACTTCAAGCAATTTCACTTCTGAATTTTGCATGTCCCTCATAACAGGGATTACTTTAAAGAGTCATTGCTAACAATGAGCCATGTCGCTACGCAAGCATCCCATAATGCATTTTTAGACAGTCTGGAATCAATTTTGGTTAATCCGTAGAAGTTTAATGCCATTGTTTTGATCGTCGCCACGCATTTAGCTAAAACTTTATTTTATGGGCGTTATCTTTATGGGCGTTAATGGTACATTCTTCGAGAAAGTGCTGTGGCAAAAAAGAGCGTCGCAAAAGTCGGATGAACCAATTTGTTTCGGAAACAAAAAGTTATAATAATGCAATAAGTTAGGAATTTTTGTTTGCATTAGAAAAATTCAAAGAGAAACAGACTGACGCTGGATGTAATAGCAAGGCCCGTTTTTCCAACTTCGTGAAATTCAATCCAGCAAGAGATGGCATTTGTAAAGTCCATGATGTAGTTGCACCTGACATTGACTTTGGTGTCTCAGCTGACCAATACGAAGATGTGAAACACTTTTGGAGTTTTGGCCAGGGTTCTTCTTTGCAAGCCCCATTCTGCAGATTGCGAGTAGCTAGTGTCTGCATACAGTCTCATGAAAACAAGTTTAAAAAACCGACTTCAAAGCCCAACAATCAGTAACAATTTGTAAATAAATTTAAATATACCTGTACGCTTTTTTTATAAGAACCAGTAAATTTACGTTCAGGCTGGCTGTTCTGAATATTTCGAAAATCTGAGGC